AGCGTGAAAGCACATGGGTTTCTAACGCTCCCGAGCGGGAGAAACGTGAAGTCACATGGTTTCTAACGCCCCAGTGCGGGAGAAGCGTGAAAACACACATAGGTCCTAACGCCCCAGGGTGGGAGAAGAGTGAAACCACATGGGTTCCTAACGCCCCAGGGCGGAAGAAGCGTGAAAGCACATGGGTTTCTAACGCTCCCGAGCGGGAGAAGCATGAACACACATGGGTCCCTAACGCGCCAGGGCGGGAGAAGAGTGAAAACACACATGGGTTCCTAACGCCCCAGGGCGGGCAAACCGTGAAAACACATGGGTCCCTAACGCCCCAAGGCGGGATAATCGTGAAAACACATGGGTTCTTTCCTAACGCCCCAGGGCGGGAGAAGAGTGAACGCACATGGGTTCCTGACGCCCCAGGGCGGGAGACATTTGAAAACACATGGGTTCCTGACGCCCCAGGGCGGGAGAAGAGTGAAAGGTTCCTACCGCCCCAGGACGGGAGAAACGTGAAGTCACATGGTTTCTAACGCCCCAGAGCGGGAGAAGCGTGAAAACACACATAGGTCCTAACGCCCCAGGGCGGGAGAAGCGTGAAAGCACATGGGCTCCTGACGCCCCAGGGCGGGAGAAGCTTGAACACACATGGTTCCTACCGCCCCAGGGCGGGAGAAAGTGAAATCACATGGTCCGTAACGCCCCAGAGCGGGAGAAGCGTGAAAACACACATGGGCTCCTAACGCCCCAGGGCGGGAGAAGCGTGAAAGCACATGGGTTCCCGACGCCCCAGGGCGGGATAAGTATGAAAACACATGGGCTCCTAGCGCCCCAGGTCGGGACAAACGTGAAAACACATAGGTTCCTAACGCCCCAGTGCGGGAGAAGCGTTAAAACACATGGGTTCCTAACGCCCTGGGAGGCCCAGCACAGCCCTCGGCACGGTACATCAAGATCAATACACTCAGCATTGCAACCTGGCACGTTCCTTGGCACGTTCCGTGGCGCGTCCCGTGGCTAGTCCCCCTGGCACGTCGCGCAGTCCCCTGGCACGTCCCGTGGCACGTTCATTGGCACGTTCCGTAGCGCGTCCCCTTGGCACGTCCCGCGGTGCGTCCCCATGGCACGTCCCTTGGCACGTCGCTTGGCGCGTCCGTTGGGACGTTCCACGGCGCGTCCTCCTAGCATGTCCCCCTGTCAATTTGCTCGGGGGCAGCTACTATGTGCTCGAGCTTGGGATTCAGATCAGTTCGGTCAGGACTCGGATGCAAAGGAGGGAGGACTCGATCTACAACGCTATAGAGCACAATCGCGGCATGGCACATCGCAGTTCAGCACAGCGCAGCACAGCACAGCCCTCGACACGGCACATCAAAATCGATACACTCAGCATTTCAATTGCCCGTCGCCCTTATCAGGTGTCTTTGAAACGTTGCCATGCCTCACATTTCTATATTATTGCGAAGACCTGACGGCCGATGCCGCCGACCCTGAAGGGGGACGATGAACGACGACGACGACGACGACAACGACGACGGCGACGGCGACGACGATCGCGAGTCCTTGTTGGGGCCTTCCCGGGCCCTCTTGGGCTGTCCTGGGGGGCCTCTGGGCCGTCTTGGGGCCTCCCGGGCCATCCTGGCGTGTACTTGGGCCTTTCTGGGGAGCTCTCGGAGGCAATTGGGGCCGACGTGGAGTGTATGAAGCCTGGAAGTCGAGCAGGCGAAAAAACATGGGCGATTTCGGGACCTCCTGGTAGCCTCTTGGAGTGGGGAGCTTGAAATGTAAGTTGGTTTTCCCCCTCTTCGGCCTCTCTTGGGGTGTCCCTGGGGCTCTCTTGGGCGTTCTCGGTCGGAGAAGGGGGAGGGGGGGGGTCACGATTCGCAGGACGCTTCCAGGGACCCCGCGGGATCTCCTCCTCCCTCTCACCCTCCCCCTGGACCTCCCCTCTCTCGTGGGGAAGGGATTACAGGAACGGGGTCCCCGTCGAGTCGATTACGCTGTTGTTCGATTCTCCTCTCGCTGGAGCGATTGAGGAGGTGGGCCGAGGGAAGAGGGGGGGTGGTTCTGGGAGGCTCATGCAGGTTTCAGGGTGGTGCGGGGGAAAAAACGACGAAGAGCGAGGGGGAAACAGAGAAGGAGGAGGATGAGGAGGAGGAGGAGGCAGAGGAGGAAGAGGAGGAGGATCGAGGATCGGGGTTCGAGTCGATATTTCATTTGTCATGGTCTTTTTGGGGGGGGCTCTCTGGAAGCCTCCGAGGATATCTGGGAACGTCCTGGAGGCGTCTTGGGCCGTCTTGGGGCCCTCTTGGGCCGTTAGGGGACGCTTTTGGGCGCCTCTTGGGGTGTCTCGGGGCGATATTGGGGGCCTCCTGGGCCGTCTTGGCGCGCTGGCAAACGTCAGAGGCAAGAGCGCTAGAATCCAGCAAAAACGTATGGAAAATCTACGATGTTTGCCTCTTGGGGCTCTCGTGGGACAGCTCCACGATGCCTCTCGGGGCGTCTTGCAGGCCTCTTGGGCCGTCTGGAAGCCGTGAAGGCGTCTTGGACAGATCGTCAGGCGAGTCGGGGTTCTCGTGGACTGTCTGTGGGGCATATTAGACCACACTTGGCCCTTTTTGGAACTCCTTCGAGCTCCGGGAATCCCCGGGAGAGCGTCGTATCTGACCCCCCCCCCTCCCCGGGACCCCCCCCCAGGACACCCCCCCCCGGCGGGGGAGGGATCGACGGGACGGGGCTTCCCTTCGACTCCATTACGGCGTTCCTCAACGCCTGGGAAAGGAGGGGAAGAGGACGACAGCCACGACGACAAACGAATGACGGGCTGAGGCGGTCCCTGGGAAAGGGGGGGAAGAGGACGACAGAGACGACGACAAACGAAAGGTGGAGATGACGACTCGAACGAACGAAGCCCCTCACACACGCCGACCGGGTCGGCGGATTTTCCAGATTCGTGGGTCGATCATGTTTCCCTTGATCGGGGACCTGCGAACCTCCCGAATGCCATTCGCAGAAGTATATGCGTCCATGTCACGTCGTCGCCCTCTCACCAAATCTCCCAAGCTATTCCTGCCTTGCACTGCGCAGGGGTTGGGTGCGTCGCCAGGGTAATTTAAGCGCTTCGCTCATTCCGCCGGCCCATATTGCCTCGCCGCTGTCGTTTGTCGGGGTGTTGTTGTCAATGCGGTACGGATGGGCGGCTGCCATTTTCTGGAGGCGGTGGGTGGCGGGCCAGAGGCCTCATGGATGTTGTTGGGCTCTCGTGGTTGGCCTCTCAGGGGCCTTTGGGAGGCGGTTTTGAAGCCTCTTGGGGGCCGTCTGGGGCTTCTTGGGGCCTCTTGGGGGCCTCTTGGGGCTTCTTGGGGTGCCTCTTGGAGGCCCCTTGGGGCCTCTTGGTGGCCTCTTGGGGCCTCCTGGGGGCCTCTTGGGGCTGAAGGCAGGACTTTTCGGTTCCTGGTCCCCTTCTTGGGCCCTTGTTGGGGCTATTCTCGGGCTCTGTGGGTTGTCTTGGGCGCCTCTTGAACTGTCTTTGGGCCATCTTGGGCCGTCTTGGGGCCCTCTTGGAGGCTTCGTGGGCCGTCTTGGGGCGGTCTTGGAAGCCTCTTGGGCCGTCTTGGAGCGGTGGTAAGCAGAAAAGGCGAGAACGCCAAACAAAAACCGTCAGAAACTAAGGGAAATACGAATTTCTGCCTCTGTGGGCCCTCTTGGGAGGTCTCTTGGAGGCCTCTTGGGGCGTCTTGAAGGCGCTTTGCGCCGTCTGGAGGCAATCTTTGGCGTCTCGGATCTCTCTTGGACCGTCTCGGACCATGTTGAGCTCTCTTGGAGGCCACTTGAAGCGCTCCTGGAGCGCTCTTGGGAGCCTGCTGGGACCTGGCCGGGACCTCCCCGGGACCTGGACAGGACCTGGCCGGGACCTGGCCTTGGACTTGGCTGGGATTTGCGGTGGTACTTTTTTTCGTCCGGGGACCCCCAGTGGCGGCCCCGCGCGCGCGAACCAGAAATATTGTTAACCAATTGCCAGAGATCTTAGCACGCCCTTGGCCCGTTGGGCCGGCGAATTGTGAATTGTGCCAGTGCTTGTCTTTGGTGCTGGCCACCGCTCAGGAAGGAGGCGCCGCCCTCCCTGTTGTGCATCTTGGCAGGCGCGCTGATGTTACAGAATCCTCCTCCTCCTCCTCCTCCTCCTCCTCCTCCTCCTCCTCCTAAGGGTACCCTGACTCCTCCTCCTCCTCCTCCTCCTCCTCCTCCTCCTCCTCCTCCTCCTCCTCCTCCTCCTCCCCCCTCCTCTTTCTTCCGCCCTCCTCCCCCTACAACTGCGCAGTACGAGTGCTACTCTCCTCTCTCCCCTGACTCCGCCCAGGAGATGGTCGATTCGGGCCGCGTGCTGTTTTTACACAGGACTCGGCAAAGGTGGATTTCCCGATGGCTTACAATCCGAATGTTCTCGGTGTTTCAAGATGGCGTACCCTCTGCAGCGTGGGCCTCATGTTTGGATCCGTGTTTTGCCCCCGTCTTTCAGCATGGCGTGCTCGCCCCAGCGTGAACAACTTTTCTGGAGTCGCCTTCCTCATGTCCACTCCTCCGCCTTCCCCTGCTCCACCTGCCCCCCCGCTCCTTCCATTTCAGTTTCTGATGCTGGTATTCTTCCTCGTCCTCGTTTCTCCAAATCTTCCCGTTTCTCTTGCTCATCTTGCCCGCTCCTCCCCAATCCCCCAGCGTTCGCGCGGTAGAAGGAGGGATACCATGGGAAGGATGAGGAGGACGAGGAAGAGGAAGAGGAAAAAGAGGTAGGAGGAGAAGGAGGAGGAGGAGGAAGACGAGAACCAGGACGAGGAGGAGGAGGAGGAGGAGCAGGAGGAGGAGGAGAAGAGGAAGAGGAGAGGAGAAGGAACACCAGGAGGAGGGAGGTGGGCGAGAGTTGGCATGTTGAGGGATGGGTTCCGTAGGGAGAAAAGAGGAAGGAAGCGTCGCGTCAAGACGGGAGAGCACGTGTGGCCCCTTCTCAGGTCACCACAGGGTCCACTTCGGTCACTTCGGCCACCACCGCCACGACGACTACTGCAGGCTCGCCGACCACGGGCGTATCCTCGTCGGACCCGTCGGACTTCCTCTCGCTGCTGTCGGCTGGGGGCTCAGCGGCCCCACGGTCGTCAACGACCGGAGGGGAAGGGCGGAGGAGGGGAGGGAGATGAGGAGGAGGAGGAGGAGGAGGAGGAGGAGGAGGAGGAGGAGGAGGAGGAGATAGAGGAGGAGGAGGAGGGAGGGGGGAGGGGAGGAGGAGGAGGAGGAGGAGGAGGAGAGGAGGAGGAGGAGGAGGAGGAGGAGGAGGAGGAGGAGGAGGAGGGGGAGGGGGGGAGGGGAAGGGGGAGGAGGAGAGAGGAGGAGGAGGAGGAGGAGGAGGAGGAGGAGGAGGAGGAGGAGGAGGAGGAGGGAGGAGGAGGAGGAGGAGGAGGAGGAGGGGGGAGGGGGAGGGGGAGGGAAGGGGGAGGGAGGAGGAGGAGAGGAGGAGCAGGAGGAGGTGGAGGAGGAATGAGGAGGAGGAGGAGGAGGAGGAGGAGGAGGATCAGGAGGAGGAGGAGGCGGAGGAGGAGGAGGATGAGGAGGAGGAGCGCGAGGAGCGAGAGGAACGCGAGGGAGAGGCGGACGAGGAGGGCGAGAAGGGAGGTAGGGCAAGGAGATGAAAAAGGGCGGGAGGGAAGGGCGGAGGGAGGGAGACAGGGAAGGAGGGAGGAAGAGGATGAGGAGGAGGAGGAGGAAGAAAGAGGAGGAAGATGAAGGACAGAGGGGGAGAAGGGCGAGGGGAGGGTACTACTACGAACACCAACAATAACAAAGCCAAGCATAAGAGGATACTCATATCAGTAATACGGAGAATAACAAGAAGAGGAGGAAGAGGACGAACATGAGGGCGAGGAGAAGGAAGGAGGGAGGGAGGGAGGTTGAGGTGGAGAGCGCGGAGGGAGTCGAGAAGGACGAGGGAGCGAGGGAGGGAGGGAGGGAGGAGGACGGCGAGGATGATGATGAGGAGGAGGAGGAGATGGAGGAGGAGGATGACGTGAGTAGAAGGGTAGGAGGAGCCGCCCGGGCGCGGCCCGCCCCGCCGAGGTCGTGGGCATCACCGTGGGTGTGCTGGCGGCCGCCACCGCGCTGGCGCTGGGCCTGTGCGGCGGCGCCGCGCTCCTCGTGAGGAGCCTCGGGGGGGGAGGAGGAGGAGGAGGAGGAGGAGGAGGAGGAGGAGGAGGAGGAGGAGGAGGAGGAGGAGGAGGCAGGAGGAAAGAGGCGAGGAGGAGGAGGACGAGGAGGAGGAGGACGGCGAGGACGAGGGCGAGGACGAGGACGAGGACGAGGACAAGGACGAAGACGAGGAGGGCGAGGACGAGGGCGAAGAGGAGGAGGAGGAGGAAGAGGAAAATGAGGAGGAGGAGGAGGAGGAGGAGGAGGAGGAGGAGGAGGCGTGGAGACTACCTCAGTGTCCTGGGGGCCTTGCTCGCCGGCACGGGCGCGGGACGCAGTCGAGGAGAGGACACCTCAAGACCGCAGGCCTGCCCGTAGGCAAACCCAGGGTTGAGTGGGCCCCAGCCCCGAGTTTGCCCGAGGGGCCGGCGGCCCACCAGGGCCCCAAACCAGGGAGGAGGAGACCAGGAGGTCAGACGGGACCGAATCAGGACACCGCAATCTGGAACCTGCCCCTCCCCGACAACCCCCCTTCATGGGTCCTCCCTCAAGCTCAAAAACTTGGCGCGGCCCTCGAAGTCCTCAACAAAGTGCAGCGCTCCGTAGAAGCGCACGGGCCGACGGATCCGCACGATCTGGCCGAACAGCAGATTCAGCCTTCCACCACCATGGACCCGACGTCAGCGGTGTCGATCCCGAGATTTGTAAAGTCGACGACCAAGGGCTGGGCGCGGAGCCGGTCCAAGAAGTCGTCGCGGTGGATGCCCTTCTTCTCGAGAACGGCCGCGCAGTCCAGGATGGTGCACTTGGCGGGATGACCGAACGAGTCCACCACATCGTGAATCCCGAACCTGCCGTCCATGACCACGCAGCCCTTGCCCTCGATGCGCTCTGAGCCGAGGGCCACCTCCACCTTCTCCTTCACTTCCTCGTTGGTGCCGAGGGTCACGGCCTCCTCCACGAAGTGCCCGCCGACGCTCTCGACCTCCTCCTTCTCCTGATCGTTCGCGTTGGTGCCGAGGGCCACGGTCTCCACTTGGACGAGCCCGTCTACGCCCTCGAACTCAATTTTGAGAAACTTCACCTCCTTGGGACTGGTGATGCCGACCACCTTGTCCACCTGCAGCCTCCAGAGGGAGAGGCGGGCGTGCCTCTCGCGCTCCGCCCTCAAAAAAAGCCTCCAAGTCCTGTGCACGCACGAGCTGGAAGGAGCCCACAGGGTCCTTGTGACGATTGCCAGCACGCCCAGCCATCTGCAGCGTCATCGCTGGCGTCGGTGCAGATGTCGAAGAGGTCCCCAGACGTCAGGCCACCAGGCGAGGACGACGGGCGCGTGATCGGCACATCCGCCTGCGGTCCCGCTGGTCCTTCCTGATCTCCTTGTCCTCCCGCTTCGACCTGTCCTTCTTCTCCTTCTTATTATTTTTCTCCTTGTTATCCTTGTTTCCTTGCTTGTTCTGCGGCAGCCCGCTAAACGTGGCGTTCGCGCCGATCCAGCTCGTCGGCATCGGCTTTTCCATCTGCTTCGGGATGGCGGCCTGCGGCTTCCGTTGCCCCGCCCGTGGCCGACTCCGGCTGCGGAGTCGCGCGCGCGGCGTCGGCGGTGCCAAAGGGGCCCATCGACCAGGCGGTGGAGATCGTGGCAGGCCCCACCACGCCGTCCTCGATGGCCGTCGATGATCTCGCCTTTAAGGGGTGGCGGCCGGGCAGCGAGTGGCGTTGCCGTCACCGCCGCTGAGACAGCCGCCGCCGTGGCTGCCTCTACGAGGTCCAAGCTCAACGCGGCCGGGTTGAGCTCCCTCGTACTCGTCGCCCACCTCGATGCCGAAGGTGCAGAACTTCTCCTTGGGACGTGCTGGCGCCAGTCCCCGTCCTCTTCGGTCTGACGCCATGGCATGTACGTTCGGTAGCTAGGCTCGGGACGGCTGCGCCCCAGTCAGTAACTACTGCGCCGCCCTGTATACTCTCTTCGTGCAGAAAAGGGGCTAGGGGGAGGACGAGGAGGAGGGGAGGAGGAGCAGGAGGAGGAGGAGGAGGAGCAGTGCAGTGCGAATGCCCTTCAGGCTGTGAAGGTGCTCATGAAGGTTGGGATGACAAACCTTCTGGTCCCAAAGCCTGTGCAGGGACTGTCGTTGGCACCTGGCGTTAGGGGATGGTATGCGTGGTCAGCGTACCCTGCGACTGCCATTTCTGGTCGACACGTTAGGTTTGGCGGGGCTAGCATCCCCAGAAGATCGGCTGTTTGACGGACGTCAGATCAGACGAGGGCTGGCATCCCCCAGAATAGCGTCAGACGCTGGTTCCCTGACCTAATAGGGGTACCTGGGGCAGCTCACCAGAGGCCACACGGCAGGACGGCTTGCACCCCTGGTTCGGACATGTGCGCCTGCTACAACGTGGGGGGGATCGCCATCCTGGCGGTCGCGGGGTTGGACCTGCTCCAAATCGGAGCAGCATTGGAGTCCTGCTCTGCAGCAGGCCGGGGCTCCACCTTAGGGGTGACAAGGGGGAGGGGGACCTACGCCATCGCAGGTCGGCTCTCAGGCAGGCCAGGTCGCCTCCCCCAATGGGGCGGACCCCTCCACTGCCACCGATGTCTCCGCTGTGGGGTGATAAAAGAGACCTGCTCCACAGGATAGCCGACTGCTACACTGGCGGCTTCCGCGGGAAACCAAGCGACAACAACGATTAAGAAAGCATGAAGACTAACCGCATGCCGATGATAATAAAGGACCCCCCTTTCCACGCTAGAGTTGATTATCCACGACCAAGAAGAGTTTGGTCAGGGGCGCGGGGCGCGGAGGCCGAACTTTTCATCACTGTGAAAAGTTCACCATCGAGGTTAACTTCCTTCTAATGTTGATATAGCAACATCAAACGAAGCGAAGACGTTGTCGAGGATGTCTCAAGCGAAACCAACAGCGTTCTCTTTATCTCTCTCTGTCTCTCTCTCTCTCTCTCTTCTGTCTGCTATTCTCTTTCTCTTTCCGTTTCCTCCCCCCCTGCCCCTTTGAACTTTTGTTTGAATCGTTTTGGTTCACGATCCACGAACACCGAGGCACGTGAGCGACCCTACACGAGCAGATGAACATCTGAATTTCCATTGTTTGTTTACAAATGAAATTTAATAGGTTTGGAACTTTGGCGTTTCTCCTCCTCCTCCTTCTCCTCCACCTCTCTCCTTCTGTCTGTCTATATTTCTCTACTTCTCTCTCTTTTTTTTTCTCTCTCTCTCTCTCTCTCTCTCCCTTTAACTATCTATATACGTATGTCTCTGTCTCTCTCTGTCTTCCTCCTTCTCCCCCTGGCACCCTGAACTTTTTTATCGCTGTGGTCTACCATCCACAGGAACCGAGGCACACGAGCTACCCTACACGAGCAAGGATGCCTCGAGGGAAACAAAAACGACCCTCGATCCTCGGACCTCGCCGCCGTCGGTCCTCGGACCTCGCTCCTCGATGCTGGGATCTCGCTCCTCCATCCTCGGACTTCGAGTCTCGATCCTTGCTCCTCGGTCTTTCGGCCCTCCTAACGTCATCTCTTTCTCCTCCCACATGCTGGCCTCCGGCCGGCAACACTGACAATGCCCCCGCGACCCCGATCTTTATTATTCCAGAATTCGTAATAAAAGGGAGGGGGTCTGGACCCTCCAAGACAAGCCATTTCAGACCCCCCCCCGTGGGAGAACCCTCCAAAACGTCGTCCCCAGACCCCCCCAGGCCCTCCAAGATAGCCTGGAAGAGACCCCCCCGAAATGAGACCCCCCTCCCTTTATTACGAAATCTGGAGCATCCCTCTGGGATTATTCTCCGTGGTGCATGGTTACGAGGCACGCAGACATGCATTGCGTCAAGGAGTGCGGCGTGAGGGCGCGCAGGACCGCCAGCATTGACGCCGAGGGGCCGAGCAACGTCCTTCAGACAACAGCCTGGCGACGGGAGTGGGCGCGCATAAGATGTGAATGCGCGATGAATGGCACCGCCGCCAGCCGGCGCCAAAAAAGGGACGAACCACGGTAACGGATCGACGCGAATGCTGAGGGTCGACGGCCCTGCCGCCGGGCAACGTCCTTGAGGTAACAGTTTATCATTTCTTCGCGACAGGGTAGTTACGCAAAATTTGTGGACGCGCGATGGCTGGCACTGCCGCCAGCCAGCACCAAAAAGGGGACGAACCTTGGTAGCGGTTCGGCGCGGGAGCTCGCAGGGCCGCTGGCCTTCGCCGGCCTTGCCGCCGGGCAACGTCCTTGAGGCATCTGCCTGGCGGCGAGGGTAAGCGCGCAGAATCGGCGAATGCTCGCAAATTGACGCTGCCTGCCCCGCAGGAACGAAGCGTTAGAGAGAACCGGGGAGAAGCGCGCAGGGCCGCTGGCCTTGCTGCCCCCCGCCTCCACCCCGAGAAAAAAACAAGAGGACCGTCACTGGGGCCTCCAGGGCCCTCCAGCGCGGTCTCGGCCCGACTCGCGAGAGCTCCCAGAGGGGTGGGTCACTTGGAGCTCACGGGGCCGTCTCGGGGGCCTCCAGCCTTCTCCGGCGCGGTTTCGGAGCGCCTCAAGAGAGGTCCGAGAGCGCCCACCAGCCTGTCACGAACAAGGCCCGTTTTCGCGACAGGTTGCGCGACCCTCTCGATGCTCTCTCAAGGCCCGGGCCATTCTTGCAGCCCTGTTCAGGCTTCTCGGGGCTCTCTCGAGGACGCCCGGGTCCTTCCAGCGCGGTCTTGAATGGCATGGAAAGGATTCCACGAGTGCTCCACCCCCCCCCCACACACGAGGTGTTTACCAGCGCGGAAAGCCTTGCTGCCCCGCCGTCACGCCCCGCTGCAACGCGCGAGACTGACCACCAGCGGGCCCGGACAATTTCTGAACACGCCGCCCCCCAATTAGCAAATGCTCAGAATTTGTCCGTGGCCACCCCGCGTTCACTCGCGCCGCAGCGCGCCCCTGCTCGGGGCCTCGCCTGCGGTCGCGGACGGCCGGTGATGTCAGAAGGCCGCGTGGGGCCTGAGGTCGCCGAGGGCCCCGGCCGCAGGGCCGCCGGTGTTGCCGCTGGGCTGTGTCCTGCAAGACAGAAGCTCCAGCGTCGTTGCTTTGGGCTGTGCCCTGACTTTTCGTCGCAGGGGGGAGGCGCGCAGGATTGCTGCACTGCCGCCGGGCCGTGTCCTCTGGAGGTCACTGCGTCCGACCGGGCGCGCAGGCCCGCCAGCTCCGTGTCCTGGAGGGCGGAATCGCCGACGCTTGATCTGGGCAGGCGCGCATTCTTTTCGCGGACGTGGCGCACGATGGCGGACACTGCCGCCAGCCACCCCTAAGGGGACGAACAGTGGTGGCGGTTCGCCGCGAGGGCGCGCAGGGCCGCCGGCCTTGCCGCCGGGTAACGTCCTTGAGCCATGTGCCTCGCGATGGACAGTCTAGCGCGCAGAATCGGCGAATGCTTGCGGACCGTCGCTGCCGCCAGGCCGACCCCAGAGGCGACGAATTGTAGGAGCCGGCCAGAAGCGCGCAGGACGGCCAACCTTGCCACCGGGCTGCGTCTTCGAGGCGACTGCCTCGCGACGAGAGCCAGCTCGCAGAATCTGCGGATGTACGATGCCGGGCACTGCCTCCAGGCAGCGTCCGATAGGAGACGAAGTTCGGTAGCGGTTCGGCGCGAGAGCGCGCGGGGCCGCAGGCCACGCCGCAGGGCAACGCCCTTGAGGCATTTGCCTTGCGACGAGGGCGCGCGCAGAATCTGCGGACGCACGCAAGGCCGCCAGGCAAGGCGGGGGGTTATTTTGCAACATGGCAGGGGGTGTTCTCAAACAGTTTGAAACAGAAGAGGATGCGTCCAAAACCTTTTGCAACACTTCGTCTGGAATTCAATCAAATACAACACAGTGCCACCTCCGTAGCCATTTTGGCTCAAGGCCGCTCTCGACTCCCCGCCGGCTCGGCCGCCAAGCGGAGCAATGGCGAGGCTGCTGCCAGCGTGCGTCCTGCTCGCAGGCGCCTGCGCGGCGCTCCTGTGGCTCACGGCGTTCCGCGCACCGGCGCCGCCCGCATTCCTGGCCTCGGCCGCTGCTGGCCGGCGCGAGGCCCTCCAGGCCGCCGCCGCGGCGGCGGCGACACTGGGCGGCCAAGCCGCGCTTGCGGACTTTCAGGGCGAGCCTGTCACCTGCATGAAGAGGTATGGCCCCGCCATCATTAAGCTGCAGAGCGCCGTGGATTCCGGGGACATGAAGGCCGTCCTGGCGAAGGAGAACAAGTTCAAGATGCTCAACACCTATTGGCGCAACCAGCCGAAGGACTTCGCGGCCCAGACCGAGCTCTCCGAGGACCTCCTGGACGCGGCCGCGGACGGGGAGACGGCCAAGGTGAAGACGCTGTACGCCAAGTACATGGAGAAGTCGGAGCTGAAGTCGTTCGCCAACCTCCCTCCAGCCAGGCAGTACCACATGACGAACCGCGACGCCTCCATGGGCTCTCGCTGAGCTGGGGGCGCCCGGGTGTTGATGTCAAGTAGTTTTTTGGAACAGGTGTTCGTATGCGTGTTGTCCGGTAACGATTCGTTGCGCATGCGACATCAGCGCAGGGGAACAAAAAACAAAACAACAAATCATAGTGTCACCGTACACCAGTTGAAATAGAGCTCATTTTGGTTCAAATATGCAGCGTTTATTTTATCAATGGCTCATTAATGACGGCCGCTTCGCAGACCGACTACCTCTACCAGCTCTTGCCGTCCATAGCGAAGAGGTTCCCTAACCTCGATGGCAATCCCCTTGAAGCCTGCAGCTCAAAGCTTATGGAGGATGTGCTGACTTTAGGGTGCGGGTGGTTTGCACCAGAGGCAGTGTGCGAGGATGCGTATTTCGATCGACCTCCGTCCTCCGACTGGAGGCGGCCGTTCACGTATCCCTCGCTGCCTGTCTCTGTGGGCCGTGGTGTTTCACGGTCACGTGGTTTCGCTTCCTTGTCAGCGGCGTGCAACTAACATTTTCTTGCAGCTTACAGCAGTATCCTCAGGATGAAGAGAACTCCTGGAGCCTCATAATAATACGCCTCTTCCTCCTGCGTCTCTTGATCCTCCTCCTTCGTCCTTCCCCCCTCCTCCCCCCTCCTCTCCCCTCCTCCTCCTCCTCCTCCCTCCTCCTCCTCCTCCTCCTCCTCCTCCTCCTCCTCCTTCCTCCCTATCCCTCCTATCCTTCCTTATTAGAATATACTCCTACTCCCCCCTCAGGCCGGCCATTAGGGGCCGCATCCGGGTGGTCCCATCCTAACCTGTAAAAAACAATACAAAATCAACATTTTTCTTATTTTTTCCTCTCGACATGGACGTCCTGTCGTCCACGGCGATAATCCATTGCAAAAAATACCACAAAGAGCACACGCGCGCGTTCATGTCAGAATCCTACCGAACACCGTGTGTTTGCAAGCATTTCAACATAAAAACATCAAAAACCCAATGCTTTTTCACAAAAGTTGTACAAATTTCCCGCCCGGGCTCTCTTGCTGAAATCATAGGAAAACCATAGGAATCTTAAGAATTCGGTCAAATCCAGCGATTTCACGTCATCGCGCGGTGCACTCGCGATGCTCTGTCATGCACCCAGGCCGCGAATCCTGTGCAAAAAATACCACAAAGAGCACACTCGCGCGTTCATGTCAGAATCCTACCGAACACCGTGTGTTTGCAAGCATTTCAACATAAAAACATCAAAAACCCAATGCTTTTTCACAAAAATGCTTTGGGGTGTCCTGTCAGACCGTCGGGCTTCCTCCGGCCACCTCTGGCTTCCTGCGGTGTACCGGGCCATTCTCGACTCGTCTGGCAATGCGTGCGCGGCATTCAACACGCGCTCGCCAGTTCCCGTCGGCAACCGCCATCGCGGCCGCATCAGCTGTACCAAACCGGCTGGCCGGTGTGACTTCGGCCCCCAGTTGTGCCAGCTTTGCTTCTTATGTTGTGGGAGGGCGGGTGGGACTGGGCATGCCATGCTTGACTCGCTCGAGCTGGCTAGCTTGACTCCTACTCCTACTCCTCCTCCTCCTCCTCCTCCTCCTCCTCCTCCTCCTCCTCCTCCTCCTTCTCTTTCTACCCCTGTTCCTTCTCCTCCCCTGTCTCCTCCTCCTTCTCCTCCTGCTCCTCCTCCTCCTCCTACGTACCCCTGTTCCTTCTCCTCCTCCTCCTCCTCCTCCTCCTCCTCCTCGTCCTCCTCCTCCTCCTCGTCCTCCTCCTCCTCATCCCCTCTTCTGCTCCTTCCGGGCCTCCTTCGGCCTGCCTTGCCGTCCAAATTAGATTTTCCAGCGCGGGAGAAGTAAGGGGAAGGCCCGAGGGGGCGGCCCGCAGCCGCCCAGTAGTTTTTCCAGCTTTTGAGGACCTGCGGGAGGCAGCCAACACTGTGACGTAGAGCTGCCGAGAGGTTTCCGGCAGGTTTTCGGGAGTCCGCTCTGAGCCTTGCTGGGCCTCTGGAGGCTCCAGGAGGCCTCCGGAGACCCGCGCTTCTGCCCCGTGCGCCTGCGCCCCCCCCCTGCTGGCGGGCCGCCCGCGGGTCCCGGCCCCCAGAACACACCGGGCTCCCACGCAGCCAGCCCGTCCCAGTTGCAGGGCTCCCTGGGGATCCCCAAACATCCACGGGATGAAAAGTCGACTTTGGGGAAGGCGTCGAAAGGTCCAGGACTGCCCCTCCCTCCTCCTCCTCCTCCTCCCTCCTCTCCTCCTCCTCCTCCTCCTCCCTCCTCTCCTCCCCTCCTCCTCCTCCGCCTCCGCTTCCTCCTCCCCCTCCTCCTCCTCCTCCTCCTCCTCCTCCTCCTCCTCCTCCTCCTATTCCTCCTGCCTCCTCCCTGCTCGTCATGATCTTTGTCGTCCAGGCCTGCCCGTCCTTCTCCTGCTCCTATGGGTGGTTCGTGTCGTGGCGATTTGCGCGTTGGTCTGTGGTTCGCCCGCTTACTGGTTGAAGGCATCGAATGGATGCCCAATCGCACAGGATGGACCGTATAAGAGAAAGAGAGGGAGAGGGAGACAGATCAAACGAGACAAAGAGAGAGGGAGTAAGAGAGAGAGGGATATAAAGAGAGAGAGAGAGAGAGAGAGAAAGAGAGTTAGAGAAAGAGATAGAGAGAGCAACCCATAGAGACAGATATGGAGATAGAGAGAGATGGATAACGCGAGAGAAAGGGATATGCATACAACGAGAGAGGGAGAGAGAGCGAGTGGTGGCAACAGCTGAGCGCAACAACAAGCGAGACCAGAGGATGGCGTCCTCATGGGCAGGGTGCTGCTCTTGGAAATTCTGGCGGGGACTAAACCGTTCCCTTGCCCTGCGGTCCTTCCAAAGTGGAACGGCACCACCACTTTCCTCGCTCGCTTGCCTACGTTTGCGCGCGCCACGCGTCCGTAAGCCCACCACTTTCGTCCTCCTCCTCCTCCTCCTCGTCCTCTCCCTCCTCTTGAATTCCGAAGGGCTGCAATATTGCGAAGGCCTTACGGCCGATGCCGCCGACCCTGAAGGGGGACGATGAACGACGACGACGACGACGGCGACGGCGACGACGATCGCGAGTCCTTGTTGGGGCCTTCCCGGGCCCTCTTGGGCTGTCCTGGGGGGCCTTTGGGCCGTCTTGGGGCCTTCCCGGGCCATCCTGGCGTGTACTTGGGCCGGTCTGGGGAGCTCTCGGAGACAACTGGGGCCGACGCGGAGAGTATGAAGCCTGGAAGTCGAGCAGGCGAAAAAACATGGGCGGATTCGGGACCTCTTGGTAGCCTCTTGGAGTGGGGAGCTTGAAATGTGGGTTGTTTTTTTCCCCCTCTTCGGCCTCTCTTGGGGTGTTCCTGGGGCTCTCTTGGGCTTTCTCGGTCGGAGAAAGGGGAGGGGGGGGTCACGATTCGCAGGACGCTTCCAGGGACCCCGCGGTATCTTCTCCTCCCTCTCACCCTCCCCCGGGACCTCCCCTCTCTCGTGGGGAAGGGATTACAGGAACGGGGTCCCCTTCGAGTCGATTACGCTGTTGTTCGATTCTCCTCTGGCTGGAGCAATTGAGGAGGTGGGCCGAGGGAAGAGAGGGGGGTGGTTTTGGGAGGCTCATGCAGGTTTCAGGGTGGTGCGGGGGAAAAAACGACGAAGAGCGAGGGGGAAACAGAGAAGGAGGAGGATGAGGAGGAGGAGGCAGAGGAGGAAGAGGAGGAGGATCGAGGATCGGGGTTCGAGTCGATTTTTCATTTGTCATGGTCTTTTTTTGGGGGGCTCTCTGGAAGGCTCCGAGGATTTCTGGGCACGTCCTGGAGGCGACTTGGGCCATCTTGGGGCCCTCTTGGGCCGTTAAGGGGCGCTTTGGGGCGCCTCTTGGGGTGTCTCGGGGCGATATTGGGGGCCTCCTGGGCCGTCTTGGCGCGCTGGCAAACCCTGCAAAAACGTATGGAAAATCTACGATGTTTGCCTCTTGGGGCTCTCGTGGGAAAGCTCCTGGATGCCTCTTGGGGCGTCTTGCAGGCCTCTTGGGCCGTCTGGAAGCCGAGAAGGCGTCTTGGACAGATCGCCGGGCGAGTCGGGGTTCTCGTGGACTGTCTGTGGAACTCTTTTGAGCTCCGGGAATCCCTGGGAGAGCGTCGAATCTGACCCCCCCCGGGACCCCCCCAGGACCCCCCCCCTACCCCCCCCCTGCGGGGGAGGGATCGAAGGGAAGGGGCTTCCTTTCGACTCCATTACGGCGTTCCTCAACGCCTGGGAAAGGAGGGGAAGAGGACGACAGCCACGACGAAAAACGAATGACGGTCTGAGGCGGTCCCTGGGAAAGGGGGGGAAGAGGACGACAGAGACGACGACAAACGAATGACGGAGATGACGACTCGAACGGACGAAGCCCCTCACACACGCCGACAGGGTCGGCGGATTTTAGTTATTCCCTTGCAGAATTTGCTTTATCGGAGGTTGGGGGTGAGATCGCAGTGGAACGGAGACCCCCAAGCGGGAAATCGTTTCGATTCGTTCGTGTCGTGTGTGCGGGCGAGGCGAAGCTGCGTGGGAGCGCGAGGGGAATGAGCCCGCCGTTGCTAGGGCGAAGTCAAGACAAATGATTCTCCTCCGCCCGCCCGTCCGGCGGTGGCTCGCGGTGTCCCGCGGTGTCCCGTGGTGTCCCGCGGTGTCCCGTGGTGTCCCGTGGTGTCCGCCGTTGCTAGGGCGAAGTCAAGACAACTGATTCTCCGCCCGTCCGTCCAGCGATGGCTCGCGGTGTCCCACGCTGTCCCGTGGTGTCCCGCGGTGTCCCGTGGTGTCCCGTGGTGTCCGCCGTTGCTAGGGCGAAGTCAAGACAAATGATTCTCTTCCGCCCGCCCGTCTGGGGGTGGCTCGCGGTGTCCCACGGTGTCCTGTGGTGTCCCGCGGTGTCCCGTGGTGTCCTGTGGTGTCCTGTGGTGTCCCGTGGTGTCCCATTGAGTGAGATCGATAGTGAGATCGACAGGTGTCCCGTGGTGTCCCGTGGTGTCCCGTTGAGTGAGATCGATAGTGAGATCGATACTGAGATCGATGTGGTGTCTCGAGGTGTCCCGTGGTGCCCCAAGAAATGAGATCGATAGGGAGATCGATAGTGAGATCGACAGGAGTCCCGTGGTGTTCCGTAGTGTCCCGTTGAGTGAGATCGATAGTGAGATCGATAGTGAGATCGATATTGAGATCGATGTGGTGTCCTGAGTTGTCCCCTGGTGTCCCGTAGTGTCCCAAAAAGTGAGTTCGATAGTGAGATCGATAGTGAGATTGACAGGTGTCCCGTGGTGTCCCGTTGAGTAAGATCGATAATAAGATCGATAGTGAGATCGATGTGGTGTCCCGAGGTGTCCTGTGGTGTCCCGTGGTGTCCCGTTGAGTTAGATCGATAGTGAGATCGATAGTGAGACCGATCGTGAGATCGAGAGGTGTCCCGCGGTGTCCCGTGGTGTCCCTTTGATGGCCCGTGGTGTCCTATGGTGTCCCGTTGAGTGAGATCGATAGTGAGATCGACAAGTGTCCCGTGGTGCCCCGAGGTGTCCCGTGGTGTCCCGTTGAGTGAGA